AACAAGAGATTATCAAGTTATTTCCCACTAAGGTATTCTCCAAGAGCTATTTAGCTCTCACATTGTTATAGATCCCCAGTAGGTGCTGCAGTGCAAATGGTAGGCAAAATCTAAAAAATACAAAAGCAAATTTCCTTTTTTTTTTTTTAAATCTCTATGCACACAATCCTTTAAAAGTTCCTATATCAGACTCAATGAGAGAGAGAAATTGCTGTAGGCCTGAGCTGTTCTGAACTAAAAATTCTTTCCTTTAGAAACTTGGTTTGACTCAGATATTTCCATATCTTTCCACTGATAGTTACTATAGTCAAATAAGAGTAATTACTTAAAAATAAATAGTTTTGTTTTGACCTTTGGTTTATCATGGATCCTCTTCTCCATTTAGGAACCTGCTATATCTTATGGAGACTACAATACCTATTTGCAGGTTATGCCTTCATATTACACCGGAACCCAGGGATCATGCCAGCCAGGCAGCTTTCAGCTTACTCCACAGAATGCATTAAATAAGGTGAGAGGAGAAACTGAGTGATTTCAGACATGGCCAAATCTAGATGCAGGTGGTAGCATGCCTTGTTTGTCTCTTGCTGCCACCAAGTGGCTAAAAGATAATTAGGACTTTTGAAAGTCTAAATGAGTATTGTGCCAACTACAAAATGTTTTGGTAAACTAGGGCAAACATGAACCTTGTGGCACCTACCAAGCCAATTCCAAAGCTTTTCTATTTACATCTTGATTAGGAAAGTCTCAGGGTAGCCCGGGCTTTGTGAAGGATCAAATCTAGATGCTGGTGGTAGCACTTGTTTGGCAAGAACTGGCTGAGATGTACCTTGTAACAAAGATGGGGAAGGGCTATGGATGTTGCTGGGTGTTGTGTACATAGTAAAGGATTTCACTTTAAGTTCCCAAACACAGGGCCGGAAACTCTGTCAGTAGGTTCCATCCAGCTAGAGTTATCATAGCCCAGAGAGGAAAGAAATAGTTCAGGTGTTTGAGATAACAACTGGTTTTCAATCTCCTTTTTTCTAGTTAAAGGAGGAAAGTTCATAGATGAAGCTGATGTTAGACAGCTTCCTCCCAAGCTTGTATTAATGCCACATTCCATAGAAGGCAGTCAGAGACCATTCCTTTGGCATGGACTAAACAAATATACAGTGTGCCTGGGCATCCAGAGACTTGTCTGAATCCTGGCATTAGATGATTGATTAACCTGTTGCCTGAAATAAAGAAAGCTCTTTATTTCCACACCCAAGCCCTCACTACATTTTTTACAGCATCTGTAAAGCACATTTCAGAGCTGAATTTCAAAGAGACCACATCCTGAGATGTGTGTGTATAAAAATAAAATAATTAAAGAAATCAGGATGGACTGGGATATTAGCACTTAGTGGCAATGATTAGAACTTCTAGACTAAATAGCTAATGCCATTCGTGCGTAGTATAAAACACCTCAGCTAGGAACTCTTTATAACCACAAATGGTACTGTTTTCTCTGATCACTTAGTTTGGGTTGTCACTTACTTTCTTCTTTTGCACAGGTGGCACCAGTAAGAAGTGAAAAGCGAAGTTCCTCACACCTCATTTCTTCCCCAGAAGCTGGCCCAGTTGAATATATTGGCCAGCACACTCAGGGCACAGCATCAAATTATGCAGAATCCTATCTTAAAAAAAAGCGTGTTTATTGAGATCCAATCAACCAATCCTGCCTTAAAGCCAATAGGTGACCTTTTTGTACCTCTGTATTTATTACTGCCTTAACTTCATACCCATCCATCTTTATATAGGGTGACACATTCCTAAAAGGAACAATTCAGGCAAATTTTCCAAATAAATTATATGTAGCAATAAAGACAACTAGTTGGACATTTTTCACTCATTATTTGCCTTGTTAAATAATATAATACAATGGTGTCTCTCATAATACATGATCTTACTGTAACTTGTCAGAATTGACAATGATTGTCTTATGCCTGCAAAGAAGTTTCCTTTGGTGATTGTTGATCATGTCAGTCAAAAGCAATGAAAATAGTAGTAAAGGAGACTTTTCCCTTGTTCCTTAGATGAGGAAGGTGAGATTGTCTTAGTCATAATTTTTAAAAAAAATCTTGAGTGTGCTTTTCAGTTTTACCTTTTCCAGAGTTGAGCCTTCTGCACTTAGTCTTTATATTTTTAAAAATCTTCCCCAAAACATTGGAGACACCAGGTGTATTAACAGAGCCCATGAGTTTTTCAGTAAACATTTTGTTAAAAATAAGTTTGTTATATTGTGAGCCTACCAGCATCAATCTAGAGTACAGAGGCGCTAGTTAGAACAAAGGTGTAATCTTAGCTATTGATATTCTGTCCCAAGAGGTGGTTGTCATTTTTATATGCAATTGTTTGTGAATGAATTTTTCTGCCCTAATCTGCTTCTGAAATCTGTGTAAAATACTAGGTCTTGCTAACCACTGGATTTGAACTGGTGTGAGAGAGTCTCCCAAAAACTAAAATCTAAAAGCTACCCTCCACTTAGTAATGAAAATTCAATGCGCAGGAACAGTAAAACTAACCAAAATAATTGCAACCACTTTGTAAGCGGATCAGTATAAAAGTTGCTCAAAAAGAAGCTAAAAATTTAACAGCCAATTTTGTTTTCTCTAATTTCTGGGTTGTTCAGACAGTAGAGGAGTAAACTGCCCAAGCCCACTACACCTGTCCTAGTTTGGTTTTGTTAATCCCACTTTCCTGTTTTTTACCTTCACTCTACTCTGTCTCCAGGTGTCAAACTTACTTTTACAGTTTGCTTCAGCTATCCCCACTGGTCATTTGGGACCCAAAGTTCTGAATGCCCCCGATTCCCATGGACTTCAGGGTTAGGCCTTTATGATGTGTTCTTTTTGCATCAAATAGTCCTCTTTAGACAGGACTAATCTCTACTCACTCAGCTCTCACTGGCATTTATGAGTATGGTGCATATGATACAGCATAGAGACAGCTGGGTTTATTATTTACACCTACGTTTATATTTTTATATATATATATTCCATCCCTTTTGAACCCCTCCCTTCAAAAGATTTTCATTGTAGACTCCTTCTCTCACCATGAACTTTTCCCACTTCCTTGTTCCTGCTACCCCCCATTCTCTTGCCCTTTTTTTTTTTTTTTTTTTTTTTTTTTCCCCCCCTCTTTCTCTTTTTTTTTTTTTTTTTTTTTTATATACAGAGGGTCATTTTCTCCAAGGAATTACCTCTCTTGCAGTATGATAACTAGTACTGTACTCAGTCTCCACCAGCCAGAACTGGAATAGTCTTTTGCCTTTGCCTAGTGCTTTTCTTTCTCCCTGACTTGTGCACTGGGCTGAGAGGTCCATTCAGCAACTTTCAAAACTTTTTTTTTCTCTCTCTGACTGGTTTTTTTATCTTAAATTTGATTTACCAGCTCCAAGTCCTATCACCAAATCACCTTAAATCAAATGTTATTTTTTGCCTACAATTTTTGTATCTGCAGTGGTGGAAATCCATGTTTTCATTACTAATATTCATATAAGTTAAATTATGAATAAGACACTTGCCAACTGACCATGTGAATTAACTTTCTTGTAATCCCTTTGCAACTCAATGTTTCCATCTTTGACTAAATTGCAATAATAATGGAATTGATGTTCGTAGTGCTCCCACCATGTAATGGCTGTAAATTTAATTTAATCTCTTTATTCCAAGGTTATCTTTTAAGCCATGTTTAAAGTTTACTGATTTTAAAAAAAAAGTCTTGAATAAACTCAAAGTTTTTTGCAGTAGCTCAGAGTCAGGACTTTTTTAGCAAACACAGTTGCTGTGTTATGTAAATGCTCTGCACGCCTGCCTTAAGACAGCAGAATAGCAATGCATTTGATTGGTTTTGTTAGATTATACATGTATGTATTGATTGGTGTTGAAAATTCACCTGTAGTATTTTGTTTAAACTATTGTATCTGCAACTTTTCAGAACTGTTACCCTTTTCAACAAAATAAATTACTGCTCCATTTACAGTGGAATTTGTGTGAAAGCACAAAATCTCCAGCCTACTCTATCATTTTACACCAGGGTGCTATAGCAAAATTTCAAATTTATCTTCCCTAAAAAAGTAACAGCTTTGCACAATGTAATTTATAATTAACACACACACACACACACACACACACACGAAGAAAAAAAATCTTTATTAATTTGTATAAAGAGTAACAAAGTGCATATAGATTCTACTCAGGTTCATAAGTGAAGTACAGAAATAAAAAATAATACTGTAAAAATGAATCCTACCAGTTTGGGGTTCAGTAATTACATTTATACTTTAATATGTAAAAACATTTTTCAGTTATTACTGCCACTCAGTGTGCCCTCTAAGCATTTTCAGAATCCAGGTTTGGGGGAGACAATATTGCCTAAATTCTAGGGAGAGGATTAGCAAAAGGTTGCCAGTTTGCATAATCTACCATCAATAAAAGCTTGCCAAAGTCACATTATATGACTTCCGTGTCCTTGATTCAACTGCAAAATCTGTTTATGGTCATAGAACTCAAGCAGACCCAGTCTGGCCCCACTGGTTAATTGTATAATTTGGCAGTCTGCATACCAAATTGGGGTCCAAAAGCTGTTTCTAATGCAATAAGTGAATAATCTAAATACTCATTTAATTTTTGTTCCTCATGTTTTTTTAAACAGGTGTTAATAAATGCAATGGCGTGCAGGACAGAAAAATGTCCGGCCCAAAAAAACATGGCTTCCAGGAAAATCCTCATTGTGATTGAGTTTATAGGATGCAATAAAAATGGGGAAAGTATTTAGCTTGGGGTTTTTTTTTTGTTTTTTTTTTAAAAAAGCTGTAATAAGAAACTGGGTTTCTGCAGTGAAATGCAAACTCATAAAAGTTGTAAACAGCAACAAAGAGTCCTGTGGCACCTTACAGACTAACAGATGTATTGGAGCATAAGCTTTCATGGGTGAATACCCACTTCGTCAAGGTTATGCTCCAATACATCTATTAGTCTATAAGGTGCCACAGGACTCTTTGTTGCTGTTTACAGATCCAGACTAACACGGCTACCCCTCTGATTCATAAAAGTTGGTAAATGCTTTTTTGGGAATATTTACATTTATAGGTTTTATTTTTTGAATATAAAAGCTCAGGACTTCAAATTGCAGGTTAAAGCTTTTTGGTTAGATAACCCTGATTGATACAGTATCTGAACTGAATGTTATGTGCCCAAAATATTTTTGAAATGCAGATGCATTGAAAGATGACCTTTTTTGCCCACTTTTTTTTTTTTTTTAATCTTACCACTTTCCTAAAAATTATTTGAAAAGCAATTAAATTGCTATGGAAAGTTCTGCTCAATCTTCTGAGTTAGTTATTCAAGAAAATCATTCTAGCTGCAGAACACTTGTTTAATGTGCTTTATCTGTTGACGTGCAATGTGACTTGGGACCATCATAAATTCCCTTGCTTGACACAGTTCTTTCCAATTTGTGTTAGTTCAGTATAATCTAAATGCTGGACCGGTTGATCAATGAACAAGCCTTTTTTAATAAGTAATACCCTACCAAGGGCAGAGTGCTTAAAGATTTTCTGCTAGGGAATTTAAATATTTTGATCCAAGTGTTCATTACACCAAAAAAGGGAAACCAGTGGAAAAAGAAACCCTTAAACACGTATTAGCATAGCCAGAGTACAAATTACAGTAGTTAAAATAAAAGAACCTGGCCATTTATATTTAACATACATTTAAAGCACTGACAATACAAAAATGTTAATTATAATTTATTTATAAGTGCTTCAAATCCTTGAATAAGATTTTGAAAGGTCGTCCGGTCACCTGGATTATATATCCAACATTTCCTCATCAGTTGGTCCACCTAGGAATGAGAAAAAAAAATTTAAAGGGTGAATAGTAGACTGTTCATTTTCTCAATAAAGACCAGCTGATGTAAACAGGAGTAGCTCCACTAAAGCCAACAGAGCCATGCGGATTTACACTAGCTGATGATCTGAGCTGAAGTGAGCTTCCGTTACATTTTAAAATCAAAGGTTGGCCATCTGGGTTGAGAAGTGGTGTCAGGTATATCAGCTATGAGAACAGATAGAAACAACTACACCCCCTTGATTCAGGGCTACTTATAGCATTGCAGGCCATATGCTGTACAGAACAAGTGAGCCGTAAAGTATTAGAGTTAACATCAGCTTAGTGAATGTCATCACAGGTGCTGCTAGTGGCTGGGGACTAGTGACTAAAAGCCTGATCCACCTCCCACTAAAATGAATAGGAAGCATCCAAACGACTTCAGTGGGAGTTGGCTCAGGTACTAAGCGCCAGCTCCTGAAACGGAAAAGGAGCTGTCCTTTAGCACAAGGGGTAGAGGCCTTTGGTTATGGTATCGATGGTCCCACTTTGACCCACTGGCGTGAATGGCGTGTCTGTATGAACACAGCCTCTGTGTAGTACATGCACCAGCTCTATACTTCAGAAATCAAAGGACTATATAATGAATTATATGGGACTCAGACCTTAGAGGTTTTTGCTTCCGGGGAGGTGTCAGACTTTGGAATCTCATTAGGAACATTTTTTTTTAACATAACACTTCAGAAAGCTTGAGAAGAAAAGTTTGCTTGTATACATTTGGCTATCAATCTAGTTTATACCTCTTCTGGGGAGTTTTGTGGCCGGGGCAAGCGTTTTCCTTCTGCTAATACACGTACAAGCCGCGTTACCGTCATCTGGCCTTGAGTTGGGCCAATCATTTTCAAAAACTCCTGTAACAAGTAAAAGTCACATGGATCATTTATTTATAATTCTTGCCAAATGAATCCGTAACAGTTAAACTTGACATGAGAAATACTTAATCTCAAAATGAAGACTAGTTATAAACCCGTATTCATACAGTATTCTCATTTCTTTCCCATCCTCTCATGAGAATACAGGAAGCACAATTTTTTAAATATGGCTTCCTTAACGAGACACCTAATACCCACATGTAGATACTCGTATTTGTTCTTAAGCAAAAAAACGTTTACTGATGGTTTGAGCATCCAGATGCGAGAGTCCATGTTTGAAAAGAGCACTCCGGACCTTTTGTTTCCATAAGCTAGAGAAATTCATTCCACCTCTTCATTGATTTTGAGTAAGTAATAAGGTAATGATTCAGGTCCCGTCTTTTTAAACAAAGCTCAAGTTGCTATTTTTCAAGATATTTATGAGCAGAATTAGTGTTGGATTAAAATTCAATTGCTGATGTTGAAGTAACATTTCCTTTCACAACCACTCACCGCCATTGGACTAGCCTCTGAATCACAGTAGGTCAGTAGTTCATATAGCGTCACTCCAAATGACCAGACATCTGAAGCAATGTAAAACTTGCTCTGAAGCAGACATTCTGGAGCATACCTACGGATGTAACATGGCTCTGTTAAATTTCAGTAAGTGCTGCACAAATCACTCAATACATACACTCCTGCTGTAAAAGGTAAAATTGATGGCTTAACCCGCATGCATTTAAAATAATTTGCCTATGGTATCATTTGTGTGGAATAAATCAACATGTGAGTATATAAAAGGAATTACACACACACCCCCTCTCTCTTGCCACAAGGCTTGAGCTGCAGCACAAGCAATCAAAATATACCATCCAGGTAAAACCCTTATGCAGCACATCAGTATAAGAACGGCCATACTGGGTCAGACCAAAGGTCCATCTAGCCCAATATCCTGTATTCCAACAGTGGCCAATGCCAGGTGCTTCAGAGAGAATGAACAGAACAGGTAATCATCAAGTGATCCATCCCCAACTTTGGCATATAAGCCAAATAAAATATTAAAAAGAAATATATCATTCAAAATAAGAGGGGTGGATGGCTATATGGAATTTGTGTGTGTGTTTTACTTAACTTTGGAAAACATGACTTATTGAAACAGAAAAACAGTTCCAGAAAGCATTAGTTTCCTGGAGCAGGTTAAATAACTACATTACACAGACTATTTAATGAAGCTGAGTTGTTGTATCCCATTACCAAAACACTGGACTGTCGAGATCGTCTTTGACGGTGTAGTACTCCTTATTGGTTTCAATTACTTTGGTGAGGCCAAAGTCCCCAATCTTCACTCTGTTCTCACTTTCAACAAGGACATTTCTTGCTGCTAAATCCCGGTGAACATACTGACGAGAGCCCAAATAATCCATTCCCTGAAGAGGGAGAAAAAGCCGGTTACACTAACACCCTGAGTATTCAGGTCCATGTTACTTTCCCCACCTCCTTTTATAAATCAGTCCCCCAGCTTCTCTTCTACCTCACTCACTATTGACACCTTCATCATCTCTAGTGGTTGCTCTTCTTTCTCCCCTCTCCTCCATTTTGTCAGTCTGTCCTCAGCTGCTCCTCCCTTTAAACTCTGCCCTTGGGTGGCCTGATCTGCTTTTCTGGCCTTTGCTCAGTCTTGTACCTAGCTGTCTTTCCAGCATCTATTCCCCAATGACCAATTGATTTCAAATTTAAATACATCTAAAATGGTATCTAATCGCCAATCATCACTGCCTACTCCACCGTTCTCCCAAGCTCACAAACTGGCTGTCACCTCCTCTCCTCACTTTCCTAACACGCACTTCCACTCCTGCTGTTGTGACCACATCATTCCACTTGCTCCCTCATTTTCTGTATCAAGTGCACACTCCTTGTCCTTGCTTCTGAGATCCTGCACAGCTCTCCTCTTGCCTACTGCTTGGCTCTTGTTTCCAGCTCCTCTGAGCTCCTCCCATGGTCCCCCTCCTGAATGCTCCCTTTTGTCCTGCCACATCTCTCCTTAGCAACTTTTCACTCCCATCCTCTTTGCTGGAGCTGCTGCCAGCTTTTCTGCGTGTCAACCACCCTTCCTTTCCTCCTTCAAAACCACTCACTTTCCATGAGCTCACTCCGCAGCAGCTCTCCATACTGATAACTATGATAGCTCCGTTATGTTTCAGCTGCTGGACACATGGTAAGAGACATAAGTAATGCAAACCCCCTAGGAGCAGGGACCTTGTCCATGTACACTGTCCCCCTTCCCCCTTTTTCAAGTACTTACAAATTACACAGACATTGTGCTGCTGAAAGACTCCATTTCCAGGCTTACCTTGCAGATCTGAACTGCATATCTTAGCTGATGTTTCAGGGTGATTTTGCTCTTATTTCGTGGGAGATATTCCTTTAGGCTCCCAGAAGGAAGAAACTCCATTATGAGTTTAATCCCGCTTCCTCCTGAAAACATAGTAAGAATGCTCATTTCGCCATAGCTTTAATGCCAACACTCATCCTACCAGGCTTGCTCAACAGTTACCACCTTAGTGGCATCTAAGATACCAGGGTTTTTTCCTATACTTATTTATATTCATGGCTGTATTGCCCCAAGGCGCCAATCAGTGTCAGCAACACCCATGGTGCTGGGTGCTGTATAAATTTATAAGAAGACAGAGACCCTACTTCAAAAGGCAGGTAAGTGTGGCTCCCAGCCAAATACTGACTTTTTAAAGTAGTGATCATTGTGACAGCTAAAGAATGCAGACATATTTAATGAGACAGAGCCAAGCAAAGGATTTAATGTAAATATGACCTCAGTAACATTGGGCACCGCAATTGCTTTGATATGAGGTATAGTTATGATTATGTCTGTGCTTCCTTAATAAACGCTCTATTTTCCAGGGGATTGTAACTGAGCCATAGTTAATTGTCTACACACACATTTTTCGTGAGGGGGCAGTCAGTGAGAAGGGGAGAAACATCAGAGAGATTTTAACTCCTATACCAAGAAGAAAAAAATCTAAGTTCATATCCAGAGTAAGTTTTTATGCTGAACCATAGAAGGAAAAATCTTATATTTTTAATCTTCTACTTGAAAATTTACCATCTTCTATGCAAATTCCCTTGTATTTCACAATGTTTTCATGATAAAGATTCCTCAAGATTTCAATTTCTTTCTTCAGATCAGCAATATGATTCCCACCACTCTCAGGTTTCAGGGACTTTACTGCCACCTGCTCTCCGGTATTATCACCTTCTGGATCATACCTGCAGAGTTCAACCTTGCCAAAGTGACCCTAATATTAAAAGAAAAAAGGAAACCATTTTGGACTGTGATCACTAGCCAGATAATGCTCAGTGCAATACTTCAGGCATTTACAATTCAGTTTTTCTCATCATGCTACAGAAAGGGTACATCAAAAAGAGACGACTGGTGATGTTGCTCCTCTGGGTAACAAATTACCAGTGAATTCTAATCCCCCCTGGCTAGATTTTTCCCCAAATCTGTGTGTGGAGTGCACCTTCCATGTTTGGCTCGGTCCTTTTTATCCTGAAGGGGTTAGCCTAGATGCCTGTACTTGCGCTATCCCAGTCTCTGTGTAGTGGAGCACCTGTAAATCATCCCCTTCCCCACCCCTCCAACAGCCCTATGAGGTATGTGCTTAAAAGTGCACACCACCTCTTCTTCCACAAACACTCCTCTGCACTGGGAGAATTCCTCGGTTGGCAGGCAGTGGGGGCGCCCAAAGGAGCCCGGGAGCAGTGTCAGTGAGAGACAAGGCTCAGTCATATGTCTGCTTCTTGAGGTCACGGCCTAAACACACCACTCTACTTACCTCTCCCAAATCTCGGATTCTTTTCAAAAATCGTTTTTCAAAGAGAGTGGGATCGACCTCTGCGAAAGGCTTCTTCTCAGAGACAATATCAGGATCTGACATGGAAAACAGCATCAACACAGTCCAAGTTAGACAGGGTCCCACAGAGCCCCCTTATTCCTTAGATTTTACTCCTGTCCAAAGCTCTTGACTCATGTCTATCCCTGCCCCTCCTTCTCCTTGCTGAATGCTAGAAGATTCCTCCCTCCCCTCACTGATTGTTTGCCCACCTCCTGCTCTGCTGCTTGTCTCAATGCCTAGCTCTGCTAAGCTGCTGGGTCCTTGTGGGTTATTCTCCAAGATTCAGATTTAGACTCTTAGTTGCTCAATCTACAGAAGGGGATGAGTATTTTGGGTGGTCCCACATCTCCCTTCCAGAGATGGGAAATAAGGATTAGTTGTTTAGTGTCTGACAGAGCACTCTGAACATGAAAAGTGCTAATTAACAGAATAAGGACTAAGGAAGAGGCTTATTCAGTAATGGGAGCAGAGAAGTCCAAAGTAATGTCAAGTTTCCTTTGAAAACATGATGCCCTTTAGCAACTTCTCTGCAAACTGGATCAGATCCACAGTTTTCTGTACCTACATCTGTGCCCTGATTAAGATTCCCAAATGACTCCAGTCATACTGGGCCCACATAGCTTGACATACACAATATCAAAACTGGCTGCAATTCTTTCAGCTCTTTAACCCACACGCAACATAGAAATTACATAGTCTTTCCACATACCCACAGACATGTTTTATTCTCATTGTTTCAAGAGTATAAAACTCACCCCCTCAATAGTATTACATATGGAATTTCTTCTACCAGTATGTGTTGTCATGGTAAATCTTTGCTAGTACATGAAGTTACCAACTTAGCCAAATAAATCAACCTTCCTTTAATATCAAACTAACAAGCAAAATCATTTCTTACTTTGTTCTTCCACTTTATTGATGTCTCTCATAATTGCTCTGAAAAACGGTCTCTGATTGGGGTCGTAGTGCATGCACTGCTTCATCAGATCTGCTAGTTCCTTGCAGGATGGTGTTACCAACATGAAGTGCCCTTCGTAGAACCTCTCCTTCTGTAAGACAAGACAGAAAACCCAGCATGAATTAGACCTTATATTACAGAGCCATACTATAACTCCACAGCTATTGTAAGACACTTTCCATGATAAATCTGACTTTGATCTTTCTCCCACCCCAGCTTCCACAAAACAGTTCCTTTTCACCAGAAACTCTGCACAGGTGTCGCCTTCCAGAGGAGACTAGTTTCTGCATAGTCTGGGATAGCTCAGAGCAACCATTTCTGAGAAGGGTTTGGTATATATCTCCTTTTGGAAAAGTCATCTTTTTGCCACTGTATCCCTCACAAAAAGCGTTGTCTAGGAACTTCAGGATTTGCTGCCCCCATGATGTATTGGTTAAAAGGAGCATTTTAGGGAGGGGAAAGGAGAATGGTGGAACACACTGTTGTCAAGGCAGCAAATTCCTTTCAGCAGCTCAGCTCTTCTGCTGAGCTACCTCTTCCTCCAGCAGTGGCTGAGGGACCCAGATACTTTCCTTGAACAGCTTAGTAGTTGTTGTGCAGGCTTATTTGGAAGAGCAGAACTTCAAGGGAGAAGAATTGCAAATGGAATCTTAGCTGTGGGGATACCAGCAGTGGTGAGGGGGAACATGGCTTTGGTTTATTAAAGAATATTAGTGGGACAGACAAGGATGTAGGGGGCCCAGGCTTGCAGGAGAGGAAGGGGGCAGGGCAGAGGAGCGACAGGTCTTAACATAGGACTGGGAGGAATGGGGAAAGGACATAGGGAGTGGGTCAGCCAGGCACTGGGGGAGGATGGAAGAAAGAAGAAATCCCAGCATGAAAGAGAGGATGTGATGAAAGAAGAGAGCCCAGCATGGCATAGTTTTGGGAAGGGAATTCTGTCTACCTCCGTGAATGTTTCAGACTACGGAAAGCCAGTGTTATTGGAAGAGCTCTGATTGAAGGGATGAATGGCTGGGGGTAACGAGAGGGCTGTGCGTTAATTAACATGGGAGAGTCAGTGATTCTAAGAGCTAAGAACTGCAGTCATCTATTCAGAAAATAAGCTGAGTTAGTTCAATTACATCCAGACACAGAGGTGACAGTTTATTGATCATAAGGGGTCTTTTTTTTTTTTCTTTTGTGAGTCTTGGGAGTGGCTTAAGGGAACAGTTGTTAGCAAATAAATGAAACCTGTGGCAAACAAAATGGAGGGAGGGCTTTCCATCTGGCACTGTCAGTGCAGTACTTTGCTCTGCCGGTGCTGGCTAGATGCCCTTCTCTCCTGCTCATTCAGTGTGCTGGCTGGATCTTGCCCTCTTCCCCCCAGGTAACTAAATTTCATTGAATCTTTGTGTCTTATTTGTTAAGTGCTTTGGGATAAATAGTGTGATTTAAATGTCATATAGGCAACCCTTTGGTGCGGGTGCCTCAAAAGCGCCTGCATTAGCACTAATCACTTATTACGCTGTGTTAAGAAATCCCACATTCAACAAGCTGATACGGGGTCAGTAGTCAAGCATTAGTTATTTATCTCTGTTGTCAGACAAAGCCCAATTCCTAGTTTAGACCTGCAGTATTCTAAGCAGCAGCATCCACCTTAGCAAACCCACCTGTACTGAATTTTCACATGGGATTTAAATCGCTGGTTGAACAGAAAATATTAAACTACTATCAACTCTAGTATGGAAACAATAAGTGCCAAAGAAGATGCATTTCACACAGCAAGGTAAGACTCACGAAACAGACTTTTACCTCTGCTAACGTCTTATCTTTCAGGGGAGCTTCTCCATTATAGCAGATTTCCCACAGTGTTGTGCCAAAACTCCACTTGTCTGCTGCAACACTTAAATTTTTTGAATCTTCAACACATTCAGGTGCAATCCAAGGGATTCGTTCGACACATTCTTAGATAAAAGACAGTTTACATACTCTGGAGTTAATATCAACGAAGGGCTAGAAAAACTGCCAATTTATTCAGTATTGTATTGCACTACAGCAATTTAACAAAGAACTAGTTACAAGTATTGGACGTGCCCTGAGATCTTCATAAAACTGGGGTTCCTCTTGTATTAGCTCATTAAACCCAATGTTGCTTTTTTTACAATGTGTGTGTGTGTGTATGTGTGTGTGTGTACAGAATGACAAAGTAACCAAATACAACAAACACTGAATGTAAGCAACATTCCACTTTACTATGTGTATCCACAAAACTATAGCTCAAAACTGTACAGAATGGAAGAAAGAAATACCAGGCTGTGAACTGGAAGGAACTTTCTGGTAAAATAATATTTCCTCTCTTCCTTCCCAACCACAGTAAAATGAATAATCTGGTTTTATACGGTACCTTGTCTGGATAGCACAGTTATTGGAATTCCTGGGTCACTCAGTTTAATGAAAGGACCATATTCATGGTCAATTCCCTCTCTTGCCAATAGTATATTTTTTGTGCACACATTTCCATGTACTAACTCTTTATCCTCCTGTAGTCAAAAGAAGGTTACAATAAATACAATGATTCAGCCATGCTATGCAAGTACATTTGCTTACACAGCTCAAGAGAGAGATGTAAAGTATCCAGGCTGAGCTCCAAAGAGTAGTTTGGGAGAAATGCTCCTGGAGCATGAGAGGAAGGTGGAGGGGGGGAACTTCCCCCTTATATGCCACTTTCACTCACAGCTCTCAATGCACTATGTAAAAATGGGCAAGAATCATCATCCCTCTTTCATAAGGGATGTAAACGAAGGACAGGGGCGTTAAGTGACTTGCCTGAGGTCACACAGTGACAGAGATGGGCACTGTATTTATGTATTTGATTTGACATTAAATAGGCTACTCTAGGAGCCTTGGATATTATTTGAAATAATATAATAAAAACAACAAGGAGGTCTGACTTCCACCCCACCCCATACCACAGATGTTCCTGTGTGTTCTATTTAACAATATCCAGAAAAAGGAATTTCACTGGCAGCTATTGCACACTAATTTTGCAATTTAGACCCAAAAAACCCTACAGGCAGTACTTTTCCCCCTAGCATGCTGTCTACTTACCAAGTAGCTTAGTGCACTTGCCAGCTGTTTGGCTACTTTGAATTTCCAAGGAGTTGTAAGAACATCACTTTTCCGGTGCATAAAGAGATCCAGTGGCCCAAATTCAACAAACTCTTCAACCATGATATCTACAAAAATAGAGTCATGCCTTCAGTATGTAGCAACAGTATTATGTCTGAAATAATCCAAAGGGCATAACTGGGTCTTTCATGGAGAGCTACATTTTTTGGAGCATCTGCACCACACCACTGTGTCTGTACTAATGCTTTAAATCTGAAGTGAATTCACTGCTTGTGAAGGGTCCAGATTAACAAAGTGTTCCACTGGCCACATAATAGGTACAGTATGTGCATTGGCCCCCTCCTCAACCCTGACCTAGGAGATAACCTCTACTGGCAGGCAAAACTCCAACGAGTGGGAAGTCAATACCTTGCCTGGTCTCCTGACCCAAGGAAACCATTCTTATAAACACTGCCAGAAGATAGGTGGCATTAGGAGGAAAAACTCTGATATGATACAAAGCTGAAGGAAAGGCTCCTCATTCCAATTCTACCACTACTTTGATGATTATTTATTATTCGTACTGCAGTCATGGATGAGGACCTGTTGTGCTAGGCGCTGAACAAAAAGACTGACCCTTCCCTTAACGGCTTATGTCGTCACTTCATAAGAGCCACATTTACAGATTTTAAACGAACTCACTTTCTACATCGCGGACACAGACCCCGTGAAGGAAGACGATGTGTTTGTGGGAAATTTGCCTCATCGTGCTTGCTGTCTCAAAAAATGCCTATTAGAAAGTGAAAAAGTCAAAGTAAATACCAGCAGTTCAGTGGCTATTCTAAAGCAAGGCATGTAAAGAAACAACTGAATGCGACATAATATTATAAAGTTCAGGAAAGATCAATGTGACTCCTGTAACATGCAGGATCAACAACACGTTAAAGTGCTACATAAACACCGGTGCAGTAGAAGTGCTGTCGTTTAAACTTTATACACCGTGCCAACTCTTTAGCCAAGGTTTTTAAAGCATCTTATCAACATTAAGCCTCGCCACCCTCCTGTATAGTAGCAGCGCCTCTTCACAAGGAGTAAACTGAGGCACAGAGAGGTTAAGTGACTTGCTTGCGGCTACATGGTGAACCAGTGTCAGAGGTGCTGATAGACTCTAGCATCCTGACTCCAAGCCTACTGCATGCAGGACCAGGGCCTAATCTAGTAGTTACAACAAACGCTTATCCCTGTGTATAGCCCACTGAACTCAGTGGGACTGCTGACTTGAGAAGTTACTTGCATGTGGGATCAGGGCCTGGATTTGTGACTCATCCGAAAAAAACTGACTCCTGACTAAATTAGGTTGATCTTGTCAGGTGCATGAGTATTGCCAGGGAACGTTCGATAACATCTTGCATGCAAAATGCTAGCCTTAACTTTTCAACTTCCTCAGTTTTGTATGCAAACTAATTATTTAAATAATGAACATCTGAACATGAATAATGTGGCATGGCTACTTGTTTGTACACTATGAACTGAAAAGAGGAAGAACTTGCCAAAGAAATGTCTCTGTGACTGGGGTCCAAGACTTTGAGGAGGACTTTCTTCTCTTTTTCATCCTGGTACCCTCCATTCTCATCTTCCTTATAATTGAGAATCCCAGAGTAAATCTGTGTTCTTGTTCCTCTTCCAAGGTGTTCATCCTAAAACGTAATGTATAACCAGCATTTTCAAACCAAGGCATCAAAGAAACAGGCGTAGAGCTATAAAAATACTTAAAACCGCTCCTTGCAACCACTTAAAATTCCCTATTCCACTTGCTTTAGTACTATTCAGATTTCACCATCAGCAATCTGTCACCAAAGAGAAACTAGTAACATTTTACAGTAAGTGACAGCTCATAATTCCTCCTTTTGGTATTCTCTGAAAATGGTATTTTTTATCATGCTGAACTCATTTAGTATTAATAGGATGTCAGATATTAGATCTACATTAATACCAAACAAGTCCAGCATGATTTAATGTTATTAGAATGAATATCAAATGAATTAATGATGACTGGCCTCTTATTTACAACAGGATGACATTGATGTATTACTTCAGTGTTACCAAAAAATTACAGCAAGTAATATTTCAATGGAACTCATTGTCAGGGATATTAGAAAAAACAGACGACATTTCCTCTCAAATTAACAGAGAATTCTCCTTGGATCTTTTGCAGAAAGAAAGTACGTATGTGCTGACTACTATTGCCGGGCAGTTCAGCTGTCCCTCCCGGCACTGCCCTGTGCTGCTCCTGCCTCTGCCTTGGAGCTGCTCCCGGGAGCCTCCTGCTTGCTGTGCGGAGGGGGGAAGGGAAGAAGAGGTGCTCATGTCAGCTTGTCCCCCTCTCCCTGCTCCTGCCCACTTCCTGCCCCCCATCTCCACAGAGCGGGGGAGGGGACAGACAGGGCTCAGGATGGACGGAACTTGCTGGCAGCAGCTGCTGTCTCAACTTGCTGACCTACTTTAAAAGGCAATGTACTTAGAGTGGGGTCAGCATACTTAAAGGGGTAATGCGCATCTCTCTCTCCCATACACAGGGTATGTCTCTCTGTCTCTCTCTCTGCCATGCTGTCTCTCCTCCCTCCACTCGTGCTGCCTTGTAGAGCGTGAGGCTACATTAACAACAATGTGTTAACTCTTGAGGGCTCAGCTGAGTGCTAGTTCATCATTTAGCAGTAAGGCATTCCCTGGGAAATATCCCACCCTCTTCCACCCTCTCACTTCACCACCTCAACCAAGCTTCACAATCATCATTGCTGTGTACAATATTAAATTATTTGTTTAAAACTGATAGTGTGTGTGTGTATTTTTATATATTAATATAAATATAAATATATTAACACATATATATAAATATATTAATGTAAATAGTGGGAGTTAGGTTCCAGGGAAATTTTTTTCACCAGACAAAAGACAAAAGCATATATATATAAATATATAGCATATATATATATATATATAGCATATATATATATAAATAAAATGTCTTTTGTCTGGTGAAAAAAATTTCCCTGGAACCTAACTCCCACTATTTACATTCATTCTTATGGGGAAATTGGATTCACTTAACATCGTTTTGCTTAAAGTAGCATTTTTCAGGAATACAACTACAACATTAAGTGAGGAGTTACTGTATTTGTTGACCCAAGCTCTGAGACTTGCAGCTGCAGGTTTTTTTTGGCAGTATAGACATACCTTTATAGTCACCTAAATCCCACTGACTTTTGACAGACTTATGCTCCTAAATCCCTACATCGCTTCTGAAAATGGGACTTGAGCTCCTAAATCACTTAAATGTTCCTCCTGTTTCCTACTGGGCAAGATCTCAAGTCTTGGGTACCGTGTTTCTCTACTGAATCAAGCCTTTAAAAATATAAGACACTTTACAAAACAAAGTGCATTACGGTGTATGGGTGATAAAATTAAGATTCCCAAAACCAGTCTGGGAAATGTGTTTTTCCTTCCTGATGGAAAAACATGTACATAGGGTATTTCCTTCCTGCTATACAAATGCCTATAACCCATCATTGGTAAAATGCTTGAGTTCATGTTGGGTGGCTTAACAGCTCTTTTAAACCAATAATAATTTTTTTAAAGTCTCTTTTGGGGGATGGGAGACCCTTTCACTGTTGAGATTTCATGTTATTTCCCAAGGCATGAAGGCTTTTCGTTCTTGTTTGGTTACATTAGGCAACTGAAAGGATCAGCAAAGCAAATTGATATTCAGCAGCTACTTACCTGCGTAACTTCTTCTTTGAGGATTCGATGGAAACTCAGTTGACCTAGAGGGCAAACAGGATGCCATTCCTGGCTTTTCTTTGTTGCCACTAACAAGTTAGAGATTTCTGGAGGATGGACAGGAAAGAGAGAAAACATTCTTTGCTGTAGTTTATTTTTTAATCTTAAATTAGCAATTCCTTACTTCTAATAGTTCCTCCAATAGTGGAGTTTTATCTTCCATATGCTAACTGCAAGCTAATATTCCCAGATAGTTTTAGGGGAAAATCTTAAAATATGATTATCTGGTCATGTAACTTCTCCTAGCATCTAACTATCACTTGGAAGAGAATCCAATAAAAAATGCCCATTTTTTAATCTCCCCATCATAACCTTAGCTAGCGTTGCTTTGTACAGCACCACAAAAATTGCCAGTACTCACTGTACTGAAAAATATACAGGACACAAAAGTGCATGTTAAGCACTGGCCTGCATTGGGGTTACTGCAACTCCACAATGCTTCAAGCAGAGCTCTGGAAAGCAACATAGACAGTGTTTCGTGGTGCTCCCTGCATGCCCTCTGGGCAACCCATCAAGTGGGTATAACCTGCACTCCATTCTGAGGGCAGCCAGTTCAGCTGGCCTGTATGGAGATGGTGAGAAAGCCCTTCTCCTCTCCAATCAGAATGGCTTGCACTTCAGGGAGTGCTAGCAGTCCCAGTGCCCAGAGTGCAAAAACTGTCACTTCGCCTTGGAAGTGGGTGGGGCCTCAGAATAAAGGCTCAGTGCGCACTCACCCTCCCTTGTGTATCCGTACAGAGAAAATCTACAATCTGATGTACGTACATATTTGGTCTTCTTGCACTCTACAGCAGCAGTTAGTTAAAGGTACACAAGTACAAAACACCATAGGGGCTTCAGATGCATGTGTCCCCTTTCTCATTGCCATTACAGGGAGTAGAACATGTCTCTCAAGGTCAGATTATGACTCTGCATTCTTACAATACTTTAGGAAGGTTATACAGACCTAAGACTGAAAAATGCTTTTCATTTCACACCAAAATTTCTTTACAAACATGTGGGTTTATTTTATTATTATTTTTAAAAAGGCAAACAGGAAGGGGAGAGACAGAACAGTGAACCTTCGGGATCTTGCCTCATTGGCAACAAGAGTTCCCATCACGGTCAAAAGACAAATTTACACTCACATAAACAGATGCAACTCTGATGAAGTCAGTGGGAGTCTTGGGTAAACAGGAGATACAAGTTTACCCTCCTATAATAATATTATTACTACAACTGCAAAAAGTATCTCATGAATTTAGGCTGTTTAAAATGTAATTGCTTTAATCTCTCAGTGCTCCAGACAATTATTATTGTTACTTTAGTTTCTGAAGCACTGTCAATGTTGTTACATAAGCAGTGCAACATGCCTTTCATATGTACAAATTATACTTCTCTAAACTTTTCACAAACTAAAAAGGTAGCTACTTTATCTGTTATTCCCCTTATTCTAACAGGAAACCATTATCTGATCAACAGGACCACACCACGTCCTTCCTCTTTCATAAAGTTCAGCTACAAGAAATTTGTACACTTTTAATAAAGTGACTTTAATGAAATTCACAACAACATTGCACAAAGCTCTGGTCTACTCCCATAACCAATTTTAAAACAAAGTCTGAAGTCCTTGCTCACACAAAATTCCCAAAGACTTCAAAGTGTGTTCTACCCGAGTAATGGCTTCAGGATCAACCCCTTTCTCTTTTAATTATTATTATTATTAACACTTGATCTCAAGAACAAGTGATATTTAAACAAAAGGTCGTAACATGACATTCTGCCCTGCACGCTTTCTTTGATAGAACAAAGAACATAGTGGATGGCAGCACCCTTGCTTTTGTGGGGGTGGGGGAAGCCCCTAAATGATTACTGCTTATGTTTTACAATATTAAGAGGTATTTAAACACGACTCATTATGAGTCAGTTGTGAGATTTTTTTTTTTTAAACCTTTAAGAGCTATAATAAAATAGTCATCTACTGTTGATACTACAGGGCTAAGTATTTACATGCTGAAGGCAATGTGTTACTTACTTTTAAAACTGTGCAAAAATTATGCGAGCAATTAGCAACAGCCCTTAAGCATCCTGTGCTGAGATCACACACTTCTCAAAAAATAATTTGTTCATCATACTTGCAGTACTATGAAGTACATAGTCTTTTTTTATTAAAAAGGGCTTTTCTCCCCTGAAACAAGTAGGACACTTTTTTTTTTAAATTTTTAAATCTGTCAAAAAATAATTAAAAAACACAGAACAAAATGCAAAGTCCCTCTGTGGTCAGAAATGCCTTCAGCTTCTCAAGAACAAAGTCTGAAGACAGAATCGCTACCTTTTGGTTTTGGCTGGCAGCATCTCTTCAGTGTAAAGCTTATGTTGTCCGTTCTAAGGGTCTGTCCCTTCAAGTGATCCATCAGTTCTTTTAAAGATGGGAAAAACTTATTTGAGCCATGAAGGAAGCAACCGTCTTTTGTCACCTCGATCTGGAAATTCTTGTATTGGATTGACTCATTTAACTTTTGCTATTTTAGGAAAAAAAGCAAAATGTTAATCAGAAAAATGAAATAATAGGACATGGCTGACAAGCACATCTGGGGCCAAATTCATCCCTGATGAGAGTCCAAAGAAGCCAGTGAAATTAAACCAGGGACCAATTTAGCACCATAAATCTACCCATGCCAACTTAAAGTCCCTGCTTTTAAAGTGGCATATACTAAAAATATAATGGGGCCAATTTCCCCAGTCCTTAATGGAGTAAAATTCCTAATAGTGTCAATTAAGGGTTGCAGAATTTGGACTTATGTCTCAAAATATAAATCTTTCCTAAAAACTCTAAATCCATAAATGATGGTTCAACTTACTACAATGCAGGATAGACTGTTCCAGATGCTGAGTGAAAAAGCCCTTTTAGATCTCAAATCTGAATAAGTTCTCCAGCTGCAATCCATATCCTTGGAGTACATTTTCAAATGTAGGTACCTACCACCTGTGGCTTTGAAATTCTACCCCCTTATCTTTTAGTTAATTTTAACAACTATGGACCAATTCTGCTTTCAGATCCATCCACACAACTACCACTGAAGTCAGTGGGAGTTGTACATGCATAGCTTGGGGCCAAACTCTATCTTCCAAGTTCTGTTTCTCTCTCCAGATAATTCATAAATGTTAAAGAAATGAGCCCAACAATGACCCTTGAAGGACCCACTTAATAAGTGACTGCCTGACTTCCCAACATTTGTCTACAACCAATTTTCTATCCAGTTTATCATTCTGTCGCTTTTTCCAAAATACTGTATGTTGTTAACTTCCTCTGTGATGCCTTGTCCAACACCTCATATCCAGGCAAACAACTCTCATCTAATGTCTCTATCAGTTGTCCAGAAAACCATGTAAAGAAACATTTTGAATAGAGTGAGGAACTCTGACAGTCACTCTTCCTTCTGTAGATCTTTGAGCATATATTTAATCCAACAAAAGCATCATTTTGGCTCTGACACTCACACACCCTCCCGCATGGAGTTCCAGTGGGAATTCTGCATAAACTGAACCAGTATGACAGAGATACCACAGGTACTCATGGAGATTTACCCTGTGAGTAAGTAGGCTGTTGTGGCTATTGGGGCCACTTGTTAGTCAGACAGGATCCAATGCACTAAGCTACTAAATTACATGTATATGGATCATGAGGAGTTTATAGCCTTTACTTGACTCCAACATTGTATGTGATGCTGGTAACTTCATTTAGTGATGTGTCCCAACATACCTGTGAGATTTCAGAACACGTCACTGTCATGAGGATGTGATTAAAGTCTGTACAGCTCCACCTCAGCACATACATCCCCTCCTCATTCCCTTCTTGTCTTAATTTGTTGATGGCATACTCTGTGCTGAAACAGTTAATACAAGAATGAGTATAATGGGCAAATGAGCAGTTACATTCCAAAGCTATTTTAATCAAATGTCCTCTTGAAAGCTACACTGTCTTTAGAACAAGAATGAGCAACTGCACTATACTAGCACTTACACTATTAAAACATACTTTATACTGTGTGCGTGTATACACATCTTAATTTGTTAACAAGCTTCCAGAACTGTATGCATGCAATAGCTTTGTTTTCTGTTTGTTGCATCTTCAAATTTTGAAGAACTATGCCTCTCTGCAGAAACAGTTGCCATTATGTTTTTATATGTAATTGTAGCCTATTACAAGTGAAATGTAGAATAGCACGATACAGAAGATAGAGTGTGATTATTATAAGCGCTCAGCAGTTACTCTGCTCCACTTGAAGTTGCTGGGAGTATTGCCATTTTATTGTTCACTTCAATAACAGAAGAATTAGGCCAGCAGTAAGTGCTTCTGAAAATCCTACCCTAGAGTTTCAAATGACTTACACCAGATGCTGTTCTCCTTCTCTCCCATCTTAGCAACATTTTAACAGATTGTCTCAAACTGAACATGCAAATATCTGGGAAACAGTTTGGAACTGTAAAAATAAATGCTGGTTTCCAGCAGTCTTGATCATCATCAATTAAGTCACCCTACAATCCTTTGCTAGCAAATCCCCGCTAGTCAAGATCCCTCCTAAATTTCCTCAGTTAGTTCAGGGTAGTGCTATGGCTTTAGGAGGGGGATAAATGTCTTTAAAAAAACCAAGCCAAAAGCATTTAAACTAACCAAATGGGCCCATGGCAGCCGTTTTTTATGTTGTGCACCATCAAAGGCGGAGCTACATCAGTGCAGAGATAGAGGTGGGCGTCTGCAGTAAGTCTGAAGTATCCATCTACTAAAGATGCAAATGACAAGGCCTCCTCGTGTGAAGAAAGTTTTAATTCCTAGAATAAAGAAGATATTTTAGTCAAGAATTATTGCAGTTCAGTTAAAAAATTAATCAAGGAGGGAAGGAGAGGGTTAGAATCTGGGAATTGATGTATGCTACTGTTTTCCCCAGGATTTTTCAAAGGGGAGGGCAAAATGTTATCCAAGTACCTAGGGCACAAGGAAATATTTAGGAGGGCAACAGTGACCATTATATATCCCCAGATATCTTTTTGACAAGTTAGCATGGGTGAGCATATGGTTTCACTGAATGGTGGGCTACACACACACCCTAACCCTCCAGTGAGAGCCATGAGTGCAGAGTCTGGCACCCATGTGGGTCCCTCTGATTCAAAAGGACTTCTCTGGAGCATGCGGGAGGCCCACTCTGGATTTGGAGCCACACGTGTTTTGATCGTTCATTTCTAAATTCTGGCATCCAAAACAATCCTCAGCAGGAGGAAAACGCCAGGGTTCTCTCTTTGAGGAATGCCATTATTCCTATGTTCGCTGATGCTCTTCTCCTGCCTCTTCCCCACCTGTTCTTTCTCTTGGTCTCCTCTCCCTCCATGTTCATTGCTGTTTCTCTTCTTCCTCCACACTGCTTTTCTCTTGCCAAGGTGCATCCAGGGAGGTCACAGACCACTAACTATGAAGTGTGGTGGGGTTGTTTACCACATATTGGGGGGGCTTGGGTGGGGATAACAACAAGTGTGGTGGTATGGATAGTGACACGTACACAGCTGCATAGCTTTGGGGAAGAAAGATGTTCATCAATTTGTTCTTCAAAACAGAGCACTTTGTTTAAAAAAAAAAAAAATTGTTGACATTACAATATTTGGTACCCATTAGATAAACAACAGGAGTGATGGTATTAATGGCACCACTTTTGTCCAGCAATACTGTCTCATTAGCTCATCCTTCTGCTGGAAAAGAGCTTACCGCACCTAAGCCCTTACCATCTTTTCGTGGTTCTGCTTGTTAATATTGATCGTGGACTCCTTTATGACAAGGAGTGTGATTTCAGGAAAATATGAAAAATTGTTCCATTCCTCTCGGATTTTGTTTTTTTCTTCATCCTTCTTGTTTTTGCTGTCTGATTTTTTCCTCTTTAGTTTATTATGTTTCTCTCTCTCAGGCTGTACAACCTGCAAACATTTTGGAATGAAAGTACCAGATAAATATTTTTTAAGCATTGAAGATACATTTTCATGCTAAAATTAATCTTGGGTGGATTTTTCAAACCATTGCCCTCAGAATTAACCAGTCACTCATGTCTTTAATGTGTATTTTATAAAGACATTCATTCTCTAAAAGACTATTTAGAGAAACAGGATTGAGAGCAAATAATTCATACATTCTGTGCCTGGGGAACCTCTTGATTCCAACTGGAAGAGGGTGTATGGAGCACATAAGGGTACAGGAATCCCAAGTCTGGTATTCACATCAGAGTTCACCAAAGAGTATCATATGAGGACTCTAATAAAAGCTTGTGACACTCTGGGCATCAACATCACTGTGAAATGTATGTAAAGATGCTATGCAGGAGTTATGTATTTACGCTGGAAATTATGTTCTTAAGGTCTGTCTCAAGGGACTGGCCATCAGCAAAGGTGAAAAACAGATTTTCTGTCAGACAAGAAATGTTTGTCTAGCTGGCTGTTTACATGTAAATTCAGTATTGTATAGTTCACAATGGTCTCCTCTCACACATCTGAACCGAATGCTAATATAGGCCTGTGTGAGCTTCAGAGAGAAAAGTAACAGGAGGAAGTAAGCAGCTTGATTGAAAATGCTGGCGAGAACTTTGGGTGAGAGATGCTTCTTTAGACAGGAGGTTAAACCTGTTAGTTTACATATAAAACAAAATCATAACATGGTGATGAGGCTAATCATTCGTTCCCATCTCTTACATTGTTTTTTATTTGAATCTCTATTCTTTCTTAAATAAACTTCCTTTTGTTTTATAATGGCACTCATGTGCTGTGTATAATACAAGGGCATTTGTCAAAGAAAAAACTGATAAACGGAGGTACACTGTTCCTTTGAGAACAGGGGATCTGGGATTTCTGTGGGTATCCAGTGACTAGGGGCTGGATACTACAGGGGGACACTTTGAAAGGACTCAGGGGCTGGGGTCCTTCTGTTGTCAACCTGCAAGGCAAAGACAGTGCTGTGTAGCCCAGAGGAGAGTACTTCAGTGGCTGACAGGCTGGTTCTGTTAGGGACTTAAATATCCAGCCAGACTCCCTTGCTCTGGAAGCATGTGGTAACAAGGTGATTCACAGCTCTGGGCGCCGGGAGAAGTGTCACAAATTCCAAGCCTGGTTTTGCCAACAATTCATTGTGCAACCTTTGGCATGTCAGTTAACCTGTCTCTTTCTCCATCAGTAAAAAAGGGATAATACTATCTACATAGTACTTAAGGGTAATAAAGGTTAGTTAATGTCTGCAAAGTAATTAACAAGTATTACAAAAACTCAGTTCAAAACTCACTAGCCACATTCTCCTCTCGATGCATGAACTCTCCATTGATATCTATTGGAATTCTGTGTGTAGTGTACACACATACAAATAACACTATAAAACAATCTTTTGAGAGGTCATTACTAACCCACCATATTTATTATGCCACAAGGAGGATCTCTAACTAGTAATTAGATAAAGGTTTTTCATGGTTAACTTGCCAAGACAAAGGAGCATATTTCCTATCCTCTGCACTCCTGCACATGCATCTTCCCACTTAGTTATATATATAAAACTTTTTCATTTATTATTATTGAGGTTGTAGTTCCCAGAATGTACCAAGCACTTTCCAAACCCAGAGGACAGGGTCCAAAATGCAAACCTACAAGGCAATTTGACATAGTCCTTTATCCTCCAGTGGCCCCCTTTTGGGCATAACTGTAAATCTGTGTGGGGACACAGTATACATGTAGTTATGGAAGGTGGCCTTATTTATGAATGTTGATATTGAGAGCAGCATTTTAAATACAGCTGACTTCAGAAACACAATTTACTGTTTGATTCATTTGCCCACACACCCACACCCCTACCTTTCATCGCTTGGATGGGTACAGAATATTACCACAAATCCCGCTTTTGAAATTCTACAGAGCAATATCTGGGTTTGGCTGATTTGGTACAGGTATTAATTTTCATTGTGACTTCTAGCACTCACAAAAACAAAGAACTAGTGCTGACCAAAGGCAGGCTTTCTGCCAGTTTCCTAATGCAATTCCGTCACCAACCTACCACGCCCTTCCTTTCCAAATTAGTAATCTCATCTTGTCCAAAAACTACGAATTGATCAAACCACAAGGAGGTTTTACAATACAGAGAAACGTTTTTGTGACCGCTGCACTTATTTCACTTACGATCTAAACAAGGTTACAATGAAGCTTTTCTAGAGGCAAAAGCTAGTATGTTTCCCACTTGCAAAGGACTACTGAGTTCTGCTAACCATCTAAAAAGAATGACAAGAACGCTACTAAACAAACCAAAGAGTCTGAAGTTGAAACTTCTCAATTAACTAATTTTCCAAAATAGATTCACGTTTTTTGCAGGCTTTCCCCTCCCCCACAAATAACCTCAGTCTTTTTGTCTGTGAATGGACACTCACATTTGGTTTGCGCCTCCACTGTATTCCATTATTTCCCGTCACCATCACTTCATACTGTGGGATGATCCCATTGTCTCCAAAATTAAATCCATGTTTTTCATTCTCTGTTAAAATACGCAATGATGAAGTCTCAAAAATTTCTGCTCCATAATGCTTAGTTAAAGTCTCCATTGTTGATAAGTATTTAACCTTCAGATCATGTGGAGAGACACTGCTATCGCAAATGGTTTTATTGTTAAACTCCTTAAGGAAATCCTTGAAAACATTGTTTATCCGAATTCTGGTTAAGATATTCCTTTGTCTGATGGTCTTGTTCAAAGTTTCAGGAATATAACGTTTGTAACTAGAAAAAAAAAACATTGGAATATTAATATTGCTACCTCAATTTTCTGTTATAAAACTGCAGTTGGTTTACTGTAAAAGTAACTTACTGAAAACACATGCAGAGTTTCATAGTACATGTAAATAATGTTTTCACCCCTCAGCTCAGAGAGCGCCGAGAAGCAGTTTCATAACACGTGATATAATTGCCCCGTTTTTTACCTGACACAGATACAGACAGTAAGTAAACATTTGAAAACCTCAGATAAATGCAGGGGGTTGTCTCAAATCAGTGTTATCTCATTAAGATACATAGTAACAAAGCATTTAAGGAACAGTTAATTAAATACATAGTAACAAAGTATTTAAGCTGCAGTTATTTTTTTCACTACTTTAGGCAAAAAAATTCTGAACTTGGTGCCCAAAGTTACCAAATTAAATCAATAGAAACGGTGGGTACTCACCGCCTCTGCCACTCAAGCCACATATTTAGGTGCCTAAATATGGACTTACTTTTGAGAATTTTGACCTTAACCTTTGATATAGCCTTTGAGAAATTTGACATTTACTTGGGCAATAAACTAACATTATAACCACCTACATAAACAGAGTTGTAATTATAATCAAGTAAATATATTTAATTATATTGCAAACTGAAATTAAAATCACAATATACCATTTACTAAAATGAAGTGGCGAGAGAGGCAAATTTGACTACACTACATGAAACTAAAACGTTACTAAAATAGATTTAAAGGCTATTGTGTTCAATTTACCGTTGGCAGCCTACTAGTTAATAAAGTTGCTAATTCTGAGTCATCTATTGCTATAACAAACTGACATGTTGAAGTTACATGGATTCCATCAATACTCAGGACTTCATGGTTGTCACTTATGCTGTGGCTTCATAAAATTCACTGTAGCCAGTAGGTAACAGAACTCAAGGGCATCTTCTAATTACATATCCTTACCACAAGGGCTAAAAGAGAATTGCTTTTAGCTGTAGTAACATCAGGGCTTATATCAATGGTGGGCAACCTGCGGCCCGCGGGCTGCACGTGGCCCATCAGGGTAATCCACTGGCAGGCCGCCAAACTGTTTACATTTTCACGGCCGCCTGCAGCTCCCAGTAGTGGCGGTTCACTGTTCCCGGCAAATGGGAGCTGCGGGGAGCAGCGGCCAGCAAGTCCCTGCGGCCTGCACCGCTTCCCACAGCTCCCATTGGCCAGGAACCGTGGCCACTGGGAGCTGCGGGCAGCCATGCAAATGTAAACAAACTGTTTGGCGGCCCGCCAGCAGATTACCCTGATGGGCCGCGAGCAGCCTGCGGGTCGCAGGTTGCCCACCACCGGCTTATATCCTCTGTCGGATCAGCCACTAGAGGGCAAGGTGTCCATACACATTTCAGTAGGTCTAATATTCTATCCAGAAGAGGGCAGTAGCATACACAGTACTGAGTATAGAGTTATCCTGACTAACCTGATATCCTTGGGAAGTTCTGGCAGCTTCATGTTTTTTTTGATGGCATAGTGAGAGATTGCAAGGACAGCCATTCCCAGACATTCATTTTCAATTTCATGTACCTCCTGATCATTTTTAGGGTCTCGAACTGGTGCCAGGCACTTCACCAAATCATATTGTCCCTTAATGGGAAGCAAAGAGAACAAGTTGCTTTAAAAATGTTTGCAATAGTCTATCTTCTGTATACCAACAAGGTCAACAAAATCATAGACCTACACAAGCAGCAGCAGAGCCTTCCAGAACAGCAAGTGCTGCCTTCTCCTGGACATAGACATATAAAATGGAACAAATAAAGATGCATCCAGGCCACCCTCACACTACAAATCTTGTCTTTTAAAATCTTCTTCTTGAGAATAAGCAGCAACAATGGTGCCTGACAAAAAAGGTTTTGTTTTTTTTTTCAATGGCAGTTTCTGTAGCACAGAAAGAGATCATACTTAGATGGTCACTAAAGCCCCAGTCCTCCACCGTGACGTGCAGGAACACCTGTGTACCTGCAGAGCCCCAGTGACTTCAATGAGACTCATTGTGGTCACAGGGGATCCCTTGAGCATCTCATTGCAAGACTGGGGCGTACACTGGTGCACACATCCCACTCAAATCCTTCCAAAGACCCCCACTCCTCAGTGTTGCCTAAAAAAATAACTGAAGAAAATAAACTTTTGTGGCACCCTGAAGATATTTACTGTCCAGTGCAGAATAGCCATGATCTTATTTCATTAACTTTGTCCTTTCTCACCCCATCCCTCTGTTTGTTACTCCTTGAATCACATCTTAAAGATCAGATTGTAAACTCTTCAGGGCAGTGATATTTTTTCTGACTTATACTGGAGTTGGGATTTTTATACTCCACTTCTTCTTTAAAAAATGGTAGTCCCCAAAAGTACAATTTTGTCAACACTCTAACACTGTCTGATAATGTTCGCTAGGGTGACAACCTATCCTATAGTTTAATGCACATCCTTTTTTTCCCCCAGTGACCAAATAAAGAGCTATTTTAAAAAAAAGGATTATAAAAGTTTTCAAGCAATAGTTACATAGACTATGATACACTGTGACATATGTATGATCATTTAATGAATAAAACATTGTGGGGTGATGCCTCTTAAAAAAATCTCTGCTCCATATATTCTATGCAGTTCTCTTGTTTCCTTCAAAAGTGATTTCTCAAATGTTCATTCGGCTGTCGTTTACGTTATATTTTCTTTATTGTGGTTTCACAACTAAGCAACACACTATCACCCTAACAGCTCTCTTCAGACTTATCTTGCTTCTAAAAAGGGACAGTCAGCTTTGAAAGTCACACTTCTGTCTGAAAATTTTGTAGCCACTATAGTTACAATTAACACCTAAGAGTACTATAAAGATGTTAGCAACAAAACATTCCTTATTTTTTTCAGGTTTGTTTACTTTGTGCATTTCACAGCACTCCACCAATTCAGTCTCTATGAATGGTCTATTTCCCTGTTTCCTTTGTATAGTTAATTTCTTCTATCAACATTATCTTTTGTTTTCTGGCAGCAATGTATTCGGTATTGTAAGAAGACAGAATCCCTGCCTCAAAGTGCTTACTCTCTTTTTAAAAATAAATACACAAAACAGAGACAGCAGATAGGGAAAAGGGAACTACAAATAAAGAAAGCCAGCTGGTAATTGAGTGCTTTTGTTATCAGGACTCAGCCAAAGTTTTAACTCCATACAATTTTTTTTAGAAGTATACTTCTATATTCTATATAGATATGCAGGCTGTTCCAAATTACCCTGATGTTATCTGTTGGCTAGCAGAGGTTGCACTTTTAGACTGAGGAATAGCTTTCCAAGAGAAAAGTGGAAGCTCCATGTTTTTGGACATTTTAAAACCAGACTGGATAAAACACCAGAAAATATACCATAAGATATAATCAAACACTGATAAATGAGGTGGATCTCTACCTTTAATTTCTTTGGGAAGATTGTTCCTTAAAACCTGAGAAAGGGATAGTTTTATGCAAGCATATATAAAGCATATAACCATTTCAACCACAGGAAAAATGCTTAAGGCTTTTTTATACAATGTCTTACCTGTGCAAAGAGATATTCTAGCGAATTTGCATCAAGGATAGGGGTTCCGTCTGGCACTAGTTTCTTCTCATAGGAATTCTTTTGTTTCTTTGGAGATGTGTCAAGGATAGGAGTTCCATCTGGCAGTAATTTCTTCTCATAGGAATTCTTTGGTTTCTTTGGAGAATGCCTCCAGACTGATGGCTCATTTTCACTTGTCCCATGCCAGTTCATAAAATAATACCTTGAGAAAGAGTGATGAACTTTAAAAACTGAGGAGAGCCTCAGTGTATTTTGGATACCTATTTTTGAACTGTTTAAAATAAATGTTTAGTAATAAGTCAACATCCTTAATCTTTCTAATCTCAAATAAAATATTACACTGGCCCAAAATACTGGACCCGTGCCAAAACAGCATTCCCGTCTAAGGGACCAGTGAAAAAAGATATTATTAAGCTCTGATAGTTTCAGCTTTCAAACAGCATATAGCATTCATGTTATGCTTTGGTAGGTAATACTGGCCATTAAAATCACAATAGCCTGGGTCACCATCCTGTTTCTTCCCTGTGCAGCCCACCATATAAAACACACACCAATTTTAAAATGCTTTTAGCTGCCACTATCTCAAGATTTGCTTGTACTAGGACCAGTGTTGTTTATCACACGATATCTTGGAATCTCTCATTTCTGGTGGTTCCAACCATTAAAGCTCCAACTCTTGGCATTCATGAAAATATGGCTACTAAAAATCAGGCTAGAATTGAAAGGGCGAGACTAATCTGAACAATTCAGTTTTAAAGGGATGCAATCAAATTACAAAATATATTTGAAACAAACTTCTTAGCCTGCTGGAATGTTACTAATGATACCCTGAGGCTGGGATTTTCAAAGAGGCCAAAGAGAGTGAGGAATTCAAATCCCACTGAAACGGAATGAGAGCTGGGTGCCTTAATGCTTCCCTCCCTACCCTACTCCAACATTAAGCTCCTTTAAAACCATCTCAGTTTAAATGATGCAAGGTGAAATCCTTTTAAAAATCCATATTTACTTTTTCAGTTAAGTAAAATTTAGTTAAACCAAGTCTGGATTAACACATCCTTTGCCATAATTCTTACTTTGCTCATTAAATATTTACACTTAAAAGAACATAACAAACTTCATCAATTGCAAAGTTTTCAGAGTGCTCTGTAAGAATGTTAAACGTTGAACATGTACGGATCCAGTCCTTATTCAACTGTTACTTCAACATTGTTCACTAATGACTCACGTTAACAGAGATCTGAAATGACAATTTCTAATGGGGTGAAAGTCAGTACTTACACTGAATGCCATCTTGTTTGTTACACAGACTTCTGCAAACCTTTGACAACCTTTAGAATCTTAAACAGTTTTGTCTGTCTAAACCTGCATGATAAGTAACCTTAGAATGCTATTTTGTGGTTGAAATGAGGTAAGATTAGATATCTTAATGTACTTAAAGGTCAAGTGAACATGGAAAACTACAATAGCTACTGCACGTACCGAAGAGAAGGTCACATGCATAAAGCTACATTAAAATAAAGTTAAGGGTTTCTTTGGTGGAAAAAGCTAGTGCACATTCTCCGTAAATCAGGCAGTTGAACAAAACTACAAACTTTTCACAAAAATACTCAAAAGGGAATTACTTTACCCTATTATGGATTATTAATTTACAATGTTCAAAATGTGCAAAGTGCCTTCGAGCGCAAAAAAAAAAGTAGAATGTGGGCATTGGGGGAAATTAGGTCCCAATTCTGCAATGAGCTCTGCTCAGATCTCTGTATATGTGAAGCTCAAAGCAGGATCAGGCCCTTAGTGATTAATGAAAATAATGACCTTTGACATTTCAATGGGTGTTTCTATTAAGGATGGTTTAATTATCTGCATCATACTCCAATAACTTAAAAGGAAGCAAATAAAGTATTGGTCAAATTTAAGGACAACTTGATATAGAGATGAGACATTCTATATTGTGTGTTTGACTCTTCTTCTCCCCCTCTCTCCCCATCCCCGACCATCTAATGAACTCCTGAAAAAAGCCTGTGTATGGTGCGCAGGAAATGGTAATGCATGGGAACTCCTATAATGAATATAAAAAACTCAGTTTGGAACTTTTACATTCTAAACACAAGGCTCATGAGATAGTTTTCTTATCCCTTAATAGCAGGCAATTACTCTGTTTTCTATACTTTTATAAAAAAACCACTGCGGTTAACCCCATTACTTTTTTTTGGTGATTCCTGTATTGATATTCTAACAGAGGTCAGAATTTGGCCCTTTACATATAAAATGACTTTTGTATTTCAGTAGTGTCTAAAAGCTCTAACCAAGATCAGGCCCCATTGTGCTAGGCACTGTATATTGAGAATAAGAGACAGTTAGTTCCAGCCCTGCAGAGTGTGCATTCTCTCACCCTTTGTCTGTTTAGATTGCAAAGATTATTATCCCCTTTTTTTAGAGACTGAGTGATTTGCCCAGGATCACACAGGAAGCCTGTTGCAAAACTGCGAACTGGACCCACAACTGGACTAACCTGCCTCTAATACAAAAAGCTCCAACCAACTCTGTTCTTAGAAACAAGTTTATTTTTGAAACATATTGTACCTTTCTTTTCATGGAAAATAAAATAATAGAAAGTACGATTTTAAAAAAACAGTAGGTTCTATTTAATTACCGTACTGGAATAATTTAACTCTTTCTGATCAGCTTGTGTGTCATTTAACCAGGATGCTACAAAATATTATGGTTTCTTATGTTGCAGACTTAAGAAAGGAGTTCTTCAAAAATAACCAAGTATAAACGAGATAGGTCTAAAGTGTAAGCTGCTGCTATGTACATGCTCTGAAGATTGACTGATATTATATGGGAAAAAATATCTCACTCACCAAAAGCCCTAATTAGAATCTTTCAATGGTGGCACAGAAACCTAAACATCTAAAGCATTTGGAATGACTGAACCATGTACTTTCATCATATTTATATATATATTATACACACAAAAATGATATTAAAAAAAATCCAAGTTGCAAAGTTAAGCACTCAGAACTCAGGAAATGCCAGAATTAAAAGATGCCTGTTCAACCTTAATTCAGACTCCTTATGTGCATCCATAGATACATATATAAATATGATGAAAGTACATGGCTCAGTCATTCCAAATGCTTTAGATGTTTAGGTTTCTGTGCCACCGTTGAAAGATTCTAATTAGGGCTTTTGGTGAGTGTGATATTTTTTCCCATATAATCCACAGGCTCTTCTGCCCAATCCCCACAAATTTGACCCATTCTGCTCCATCCCCTCCAACCAGTGCTAGTCCAGTCCTGTCTCTTCACCACCACTGGCTCCTTGTCCCAGTCCTATTCTCCTTACTTTGCCAGTCCCAGTCTCCTCTCCTCAGACTTCTTATCCAAGTCCCAGTCACTCCCTACTCCTGACTCCTCATCTGATCTCTCTCCCCCACTCTAGCCTCTAATCAACCCTCCCACCCAGGCCATGTTCCCAGTCTCCACTGGCTCTCAGTCCCAAACCTCTCACCAGACTCCTGGTCCAACCTCAGTATTCCCCCGGCTCCTAGTCCGAGTCTCTTTGCCCATCTCCATACCCCAGCTCCTCATCAGATTTGTCTCCCCTCACCTCCTTCCCCCTCCCGCCCCCCACTTGTTCATATTCAGTCTCTTTGCCCAGACAGTCGCAGTTTCCTCTCATAGTTCCCAGGCTTTTTGTCCCAATCTACTCCCTATCCAGTCCAGCTCTTACCCCTCTGCATTCAAGGTCAGGCAGCTTCCCCCTCCATACTGCCTGGGCCCAGCAGGGAGGTCACAGATAGCACAGAACAGTCTCCATGCTCTTAGTTCCAGTGCCCAGGCTTGGCCCCAACATGGCCCACAACAGCTCAGAGCTGCAACTGTAGGGAAAATCCTGCTCAGCCCTCGGCTAAAGCATGCCTACTGTGGATGAAGACTCCGCTGAACATATGCAAACTGCAATTTTTATTCAAAGGCTTATAATTTGGGTAGAGTTTCACTGGGAAAATGTGGCCAGAATTTTTTTAAAATGGTCAAAACAATATATTTTCCTCTAGCTTTGTTCTCAGAAATGGCTGAACAATTTTGGCTGAAATTAAAAATCAGCCTGAGGTAGACACTTGGCATGGAAAATTTCAGCACAAATAGTTAAAGTCTGGCAAAGTTACAAGCAACTGATAACAGGGTCTTACAATGGAAACTACCAGGCAACTTTAATAATATATAACAAAAATAAGAAGTAATTCTGGGAATTGTCACCATTGACTCACCAAAGCAGAAACATACAAATATAATCTGATTATATGGGGAGTTATTATTATGAATTAGTAATATATTCATGCAATGTGGTTAGTTAAAAACAGTATTACTGAGTCAGTGGTTAAAGTTCCTACAATTGCAATTTTCTTATGTTATTTAGAATATGATACAAATAAATATAAATTAAGCTCTTCCTTTAAAAAGAAGAAACTGCACACCAGAAGTATTATAGAAGACTATCAGGGGAAATTGCCCTGAGTTCCTATTGTACCGAGAAAACATCAAGATTTTTCTGGTATGTGGTTGACCTGATTGACCTCTTGAAGCAAGTAAGAGCAACTAATATTCTGTGAGACCATTAGATTTCCAAGAGCTTCTCTCAGCAATTCAAGTCACTCAATTCCATTATTATCTGGTGTTAATCTACTGCATTTAATAACAACAGTTTAAACCTGAGATTAGTTTACATTAAGATATTAGCACTGCTTATAAAGAAGGCCTGTTAAAGGAACAGACCAGATTATAGTAATCTTGTGTTTCTCTAACAAACATACGGTACATCAGTGCTTCTCAAAGCCAGTCCGCTGCTTGTGCAGGGAAAGCCCCTGGCGGTCCGGGCCGGTTTGTTTATCTGCCGCATCCGCAGGTTTGGCCGATCGCGGCTCCCACTGGCCGCGGTTCACTGCTCCAGGCTAATGGGGGCTCCGGGAAGGGCGGCCAGCACATCCCTCATCCCTCGGTCCGCTTCCCTGAACAAGCAGCGGCCCAACTTTGAGAAGCACTGTGGTACATAACACTAAAGTTAATCTCTGAAAAGCCAAGTTCTTTTTGTTCATTACAGACAATCATTTCCCTGAATAACATACATTCCCTTTCTCTCACACTTCTCCAATCAGAAAAGCAACTGTGACGTGGTACAGGTTTATTCACGATTAGAATTCCTTAAACTTCAAAGAGTCAAACTGTCAAAGGGGCCTTATCCTGGCCTGCATTTGCATTACCAGTGTGTGCACGATATCTTTTCTCCATGCAGGGGAAGTGTCCTGTGTGTGTAGATTTTTCTTGGAACAACGGAGGTTTGTACACCATCATGTGCATGTGACAATTTATGAAGCATAGGTGCAAATATTCAGATAAGTACTGAAATATGCAACATCGCACACAAATTAAATCCAATTTTTTGCCCGAAATCTCAAGATGAATCCAAAAGATTGTGTTTTTTATTTTAGTAAAATGACAAGTTAAAGAGGGGATGTTGATATATAAAAGTATGTTCTTAGAGACGTGCCTAGTGGAGCTAACAGGGACCCAACTATTAGTGCCCTTGCCCTTGGAAAATGCCAGAATGCCCAAACATTCTGGAAAAATTTATTCCTCAAGATAAAACTTGTTCTCTAGATTGTAATGAAGGTTCTTCATTTTCAGTTTTTGTTTTAAGATTTCCCAGGAATTTATCAGGGTTTATTACAAATATTTAAAAGCAGATACAAATCAGTACAAAAATTAACTTTGCAGTTTTCTGGGGAAATATCACTCCCTGCCCCCCCCCGTTTTTGTTTTTATGCAACTTTCCAAAAAACCCTTATGTTCTGAAATGCAGTTGGATACAGTTTTTTGTTGTTGTTTTCAACCCATTTTAACAGGAAAAGGCATTAACTAACTTTAATTTGCTTTGAAGGATGATAACTATTGTGCTATCATGTAAAACTGGTAATGTGTATGTGGTAGGCATGAGACTGACAACAACACGGACACCAGCGCTTGGGTCATTCCAGTACTTTTGACCCAGCTGGAGGCTCAGTAACCTGGTTACCAAGCTGCCCTCTCTTCTTCTGGAGGGAGGAGCCAGGTCTGAGGAGTTCCAGAGCTTCCAAAATTCAAATTATATGTAAAAACAAAATAATGACTTTTGTAACACCGAGGAACTTTTCTGCAAAAGTCGGTAAAAACTGAAATTGAAGGGCCTCACTTACAATGTACAGGATGTTGAATAGTAACTGTATTGGGGTACAAGAGGGGAAACAATTAACATGAAAACACCAGGGAAGAAAGATGAATGGGGTCTGTACTAGAATTTCTACCAGATCCAAAGGGGACGAAAACCTTCCCTAGGCTGCAAAGTGATGGTGAATCTGCTCTCCAGCTGTATGCACTCTCCTCTGAGGAGGAGAGGAATGGTTGGTGTATCTATGGAGTCACAGGTCCACTAGCCCCCATGTGCTGTGGCTCAGGAATTACCAATAAAGTACAACCTGATGATGTGCAGATCCCTTTCACAGAGTTCTGAATTTTCCTTGTGCTCTCTCCCATCCCACCATGGAATTGCACCAGTTCCCCTTCGAGCTGAGAGCGGGTGTTCAAACGCACTGGCATGACTTTGCTCCCACTAAAGTTGATGGGAATCCAATGGGAGCCAAGCTAAGCCAATGCTGAACGATTTTGAACCTTCCCCTTCCCCCACTGCCCGTGTGGGGGAGACACAGAATTTGGCCCTTAACTTTTCAGTGCCTCAGTTTCTCAGTGTATACAACAGGAATAACAACAGTATTTTCCTACCTCACAAGAATATTTTGTGAAGCTACATTCATTAATAGTTGCACTCTGAACACCTCAGATGGAAAGTGCTACAGAAATACAGAATATTACGATGTGACCATGGCGCTCAGCTGTTTGCACTGTGAATTTTTAGTTAGTCCTGTCACTTACAGCTTTGTGGTTTGGGGTTGTTTTAAGGTTATGTAGAAAATGCACACATTCTGGAGACCTTTTCAGCCTTTCCTGTTGTTAATCTGTCAATTTTGCTGTGAAAGGTTTTTTGCTTTTTTTAAACTGAGTTCAGCTCTAAATGTTACACTAGCCACACAATTCTTGAAAAAACACACACACTGGAATCTTGAAATAATCCATCTTTCAGTTGTCCCAACATACCTCATGCGATAATGGAGCCGGAGTGCTGTCTTGTCATCTATTTTGAAGGCATGGTTTGGTGCATACCAGAGTTTTCTACCCTCCTCAAATAGTGCAAAGAGATTGTGGCACAATGGAGATACAGCTGTTAAAAAGAAAAAATAAATTAATGAACTCACAAACTGAAAGCTGAACTGCACTTTCAACAGCTCCCAGGAGAGGGAGTGTACTACTAAAACTGTTCAAAATTCTGTGATTTATTTCTTCGGTTTGTTTTGCTAAAACCAAAAACATCCCTTTTCCTTGAGTGGAAGGGCAGGAAAGCAAGTGATGTCACTGTCCCATCTGAGTTTACTAATCCATCACAGGGTTTTCCAACAAAACACTCCAGTTGACTTGTTTCTATGTTGTTTGTTTTTAATGAAGACAACTTCCCTTTAAAATACAACAAAAACAGGTTACAGTGACTTCATCCCTGTGAAGACATCTACTTTCTCTGTTTTGGGTTTCCTTGTCAATAAAAGAAGAGAGCACTATCTGGCAGCATGTACATCACAAGGGCCCTGTACCTCAGGAAAGCATCTCTATTTAGGACAACACTGAAGCATGTGCTTAAGTGTTTCCTGAATTTGGGTCAACTCCTGAGCTTCTCACTCAGTTTTTACTGAATCCATTCTCAAATAAATGTTTTCTTAATTCCAAAAATATTGAGGAAAATAAATGCTGACTATGCCAACTGTACAGTTATACAATGTGGGGCAGGATACTCGCTGCTCTCTCATGTAATCCAGCAGCACTGGAGGCATATTGATGGTATATCACCATAAGAAAGTCATTTACAACAGAGACTAGCTTCAGAGGCTTACTGAAAATCTAGCATTTCACAAAATGGTAGGCTGACAGCAGCAACAAGGAATTAAAACAAACAGGACTTTTGGACCTATAAATCAGGTGTCTCTTATGGGTCTAGCATCAAAGAAGGTGGAAGAAGGTTCCCTTAGGTTAGTCTCTAAGGTGCCACAAGTACTCCTGTTCTTCTTGCTCCTTCAATCACACTTTGAAGATTTTGCAACTCTAACTAGATGTGGTTAGAAATTAGACACCAGAAGTTACTGGCAATGGACAGTGTGTGTGTTAGAATAAATACAGAGCGGCATTTGACAGCTTTTAAACTATTAACATAAATAATAAATGGATTTAAGTATCTGCTGTAATTTATCATAAATGGTTTTCATTAGCAGCCAACTTGAATATATATTTGATGAAGTTTAACCAGGAGATTTCCCCTACTCCCATCCTGAAGAAAGGGTAGAGTAACTAGGTGAAACAGATGAGGAGAGCACTGGATGTCTCAACCCCAAAAGGGAGGTGGGGGGGGGGAACCCAACCTTTTTTTTTATTTCGAAGCTTCAAGGAAACTGTGAACAGACATAGTCATAAATAAGAGCCTGATTAAATGGCCTGAATCTCCCCTCAAATCAAAGTATGTTGAAATAACTCAGCTGAAGACAGTGGAGTGTAAAAGTGTTGTAAGCAAAAAGATAATTGGGCCCTAGTTACATAGGTCCCATTTCATCAAAGCACTTTAACATGGGCTTAAATTTCATTGACTTCAATGGCTTACTCATCTGTTTCAGTATTTTGCTGAACTGAGACCATAGTGGAAGACACTGATACACTTTTTGTTGTAAATTTCTATATAACTTGAATTGTGCTTAATTCTAATCTCACTTTACAGTACACTAGTGTATTACTAGTATTGTACATACCAGTGACCATACACATGGAAGTGAGAGACGAGGGTGGGGAAAAACAGGTAACAATATGAGATAAGTATCAGGGAGAGAGGGGAATGGTTATTTTGCCAGTTAGCCCAACTGCCATCTTGTGAATCTATGTGCTTTGGTATTGCAGAAAGGGTTTCTTAACAGGTTTGCCAACTGGTATGTTACAGTGAAAATAGCCTTGTTTAACTGTGTAATAGGATACCTCTTGAAAGACAGCCTAATCCTGCTCACGTTAAAGTCAATGATAAATGGAAGTGTCAGTGTTGGAGTGGAGGGTCATGGCTTTTTGCCATCCCTCTAGGATCCTTGGATTCTCGGTAAAGAACCGACAGCTCTTCTGCAGAGGAAAGTCTCATTCTCCCTTCTCCCCATGAAAGAATCAAAAAAGAATTCCACAAGAGGTCCCTTAAAGTTTTCTAGCTCTGACCCTACCCCGTGAGTATTTTTGCATGACCAGAGAGGGATGAATTTATTTATAATACATTTTGTCTTAGTAGTAGCTGAATACTGCAATACTCACAGCACTTCTGGGCAGCTTCAATGCACAGGTTTTCTGCTGTATACTCGCCACTGGTGTACCGAATGGGAGGCTTCTCTTGCAAATAGAATAATATTTCCAATCCTTGCTCTTGAGCTTCTGTGGTCACTTCGCTTTTTTTTGAGTTTCTCAGTTTTGCACAGAAAGCCATGGCTTTGCAATCTTCTTTTACATTTAGATACTGCATTCAGAGAGGAAACAAATTCACAGAGAAAACGTGATGACAAGTTTGATATTTCACTCAAAGCTGAAGCCACATTCAGGTCTCAGGCTGGGGTGCTAAGATCGAGGTTTTTGTTCAGGCCCAACAAGTGAAAATTATTTCAGTATCTCTTCACTTAAGTAGGCTTCTGAATATAATTATGGTTTCTCAACCTTTTCAGTTTGGTGATCCCTAATTAAAATATAAGTAATAGTAAAATAATGTATCAATGGCAACAATGCTCCTGCCCCACACATACCCCTACATTGAAGTTTTGGCCACCACAAAGTTATTCTGGAAATTTTATTTTCTTTGCTTTAGAATTGTAATAAAAATTTCAATGTCTTGCAACACCCCCATTCCCAATTATCTTTAGTAACACCATCCTGGGATCACAACCTACTGGCTAAAAAATAATATAGATTAATTTTTAGATGCCTTAAAGAAATTGACTAACTTGCTTTTTCAGCTGAATATGTTAAAAGCAACTAAAGCAACTAAATGTTTGTAACACACTTTTCTTCCTTTTCTTAAACTTGATGTGCCATACCAAAAGGGGCACTGCTTTTTCCACCCCTCAAAATGTAACATTAGCACTAGACAGTTTTAATGCAATGTCCTTAAGATTGGAATGTGCTACATATGCAAACTTGACAAAATCAGGAATAGCACCTTGCATTATGAACACTGTTTGGAAGGAAACAGCAATAGTAGAGTTAGACTAGCAAAGAACCCAGGTTTTATTGTGGGAGGAGTCCTAAATGAATGCTTCTACTGAAGTCTAATTCCATTACAAATGAAAGCCAAAAAATATAGCCTCCATAAGTATTTCATAAAAAAAACACACACCTGCATTTATCTGAATGTCTGGTCTTCCAAAACAGGAGAATGGATTTTCTTCAAACTTTCCAGAAGCAATTCAACCCTGTCTGGGAACAAGAAGAAATGTCAACTCAAAAGGGAGCTGTTTTGAGAAGTTTTATAAGCCAAATAATATATGGACATTCAACCAACTGCATTGAACGGGAATCTTTCCATTGACTTCAATGTGCTTTGGGATATGCAAAGAAGCCAATAATTATTTCTGCACAGATAGAATTTAAATGCAAGGATTTTAATAGGGCAACTCACCTAATGATAAAGGCTCCCTTTACGATAAGAGTCCCTCATAACCGGGGCTTACTCTATTTTAATATGTTTGTGAAGCCATAAAATTAAAAATCCTGACAAGCGCATATATAATGAATCATAAAAATTGTACCACCGCTTTAAAATGTGAAAGGAAAATAAAAAGCCTATCCTGGCTTCTTGTAAATCTTATAATAAGTCAGAACTATTGCTTTTCAACTCACTGCTCTTTTGCTACACTTAACTCATAACTCTTGTTTCCAATTATAGTAACAATTCCAGGAATACCAAAGAACAGTAAATGCTGTTTCATTTACAATAAACTTCTGGGGACAATCAATGTCTGCTCAATAGCTTGGCATTTATTACATAGTCTTCTTGATATTATTGCGTTCAGTACCAAAATTCATTTTTTTAAAATACGTCTTGAAAGAAAAATGGCATAAAATCATTTAAAATCCGCACTCTGCATTTCAAGCGTCTTTCGTACGTCTTCATTAAGAATATTTACTGTCATTGCAATAACAATTGTGTTATGTACACCAATACAATGAAAGAATGAAAACACTTTGGGGGTACATTTCAGATTAACTAAATGCTTCCCCACCACATGAAAGGTAAAGATGCCAGCCCTAACAGACAGTGCTGGATCACTGGGGGTAGGGCTGGAGGACCAATGCTTTCTTCAGCCAACAGCACACGCCTTTTAAGAGTAGCTGCTACTGGCAATCACAGTCCTAGGACTGGCTAGTAGCCAGCCCAGTAATGATGACTCTATATGCTGGTAGTGGCAGCCCTTTTCTACTCTACCTCCTGCTGCCTTACAGCCAGGGGAGTGGGGCTCATTGGGGGGGGAGGGAGATTCTGAGTGCAGGGAGGTGAGGTGAGGCGGGAGGGTCTGGGTATGAGGAGGTCTGAATGCACGGGGGTTGGGCGGATGGGGGAGCAGCTCCCTATATAGGGATCCCTCCCCCTGCAGCTGAGGAGCAATGGGTGTAGGAAGCAGGGGTAGGGGACGAGTTTGCAGAGCTTCCTTCAGCCAGGGGAGAAATCTGGGGATGGGTCTGACCAGGCCCCATATACCGTGCAAGGGAAGAGGAAGTCCTGTCCTCCCCAGCCCAGCCGGGACTAGTAGCTAAGCCTGGCGCAAGGTAGGATCCACCAGCTAGGTCTTCCCCAGTCCCGCCTCCTGTCCCACAAGGATTTACTGCTCTGCCGGCTGCCCTGGGCTCCTGAAACATATTGTTGGAGAGGGTCGCATGACTGCTCTTGTGGCTTCTCTTTGCTTCCCCATCAGAAAGTCATTCTTCTGCGGGGAAGCAAAGAAATCTCCAGGGGACATAAATTCTGTGCATGCCCAGTGGCGCAGAATTCCCCCAGGAGTAGAATACTGTCATAGACTAGGACCTCACTGTGCTAGGTGCTGTGCAAAAAAAAAAAAAAAAAGACAGCTCCTGCCCCAAAGAGCTTACAATCTAAGTGTGGGTTACAATAATAATTGTGTACACACATGTGCATATATATTGTGTGCCTGAAACTTTCAGATTCTAGATCTAATTCTTTTTGACCAAGGAAACGACATAAACAGATCTGGGACCCATAGCAAGTTTATTATGATGCACTTGTCATCTCCAGACTGGCCTACTGCTGAGGTGGACCCTGAAAGTTTCCTCAGAAGCTGCAACTAGTGCAGCATGCAGAGGCCCACCATCTAAATAGTGCAGACTAAAAAGAAATCATGCACACAGTGTCAGTCAAACTCTAAGTCTACTCCAAAGTCCTCCTCTCAACCTTTAAAACTATGGCCTAGCTATCTTAATGATTGCCTCACTCTGTTCCCCACAACATCTGCTATGCCTAGTGACTATAATGCTACCAGACATTTGTGATGTTCAGTCATAGGGTATTTCCAATGACAAGTCAGCAGTTAACAGAACAATCATGATTATGGAGACAGGCTGACAAACCGGCAGCTGCTAAAGATAGTCTCAAAGATGAAATGGGGCATGCCCACCACAAACAGTGATTTTGCCTGGAGATCCGGGTGTGCTTGTAATGAACCGAGGACCCCCTACTGCTGTGTTGTTGTATTTTAATTAGACCCATTGTTTGGAGCCATTCCTCAATCCATGAGCTCCACTTGCTTCACTTTTCATAGCCTGAACCAGAACTGGGCTTAAGCCAGCCAAAGTTCAGCTCAAGGTCCAACCTCTTAGGCTGTTTTGGTCCAGTGGGTAGATTAATCTCATTATAAATAACAGAAGCCAGCCACAACATGTAGATGTAAATTTCCCGAACAGTTTTTTGTTCTGGAAATTTTCTGTTTTTTAAATATTACCCTCTTGAAGGCTTCACAATTTTATATTAAGATTTCTTCTATGGTATTCCTACAATCTGTTTAAAATATTTATCAAAGTCTGAAATAAAACCTGCCATATTAATAACCTAAAGCCAAGGAAACACTCAAAAGTAATATTTGAGCAACAACAACAAGTCATAACCCTTGCTACCAAGCAGCACATGAAGGAGTGTGTATCGGCATGGTGGTAAGCCTTGGGATTTTTGCAAAATGGGACCCTAGCGTTAAAAAAAAATCTAGCCTTTCAAGCGGACCCGCTGGAAAACTCCAAGAAACATCCCATTTAGAATCAAATCTGGCTATGTCAAATTTTTCTGGACTTCTGATTCCTAACTTATTACTACAAATACTTGTATGAAAATTGCAACAGAGAGTCCTGACATGCATCCGACGAAGTGGGCATTCACCCACGAAAGCTTATGCTCCAATACATCTGTTAGTCTTAAAGGTGCCACAGGACTCTCTGTTGCTTTTTCCAGATCCAGACTAACACGGCTACTCCTCTGATACTTGTATGAAAATTGTTTCTCAAGAGTTCATTGGCTCGTGCTGGCTATTTCGTCCCTATCTGAAAAATCGTATTTCCTTCTGTGGCTTCATAATCATTTTCACACACCAGCTCTTTGTCAAGTCACAAATAGTAGATAATGGGCTATATTCTACTCTGATACAGTTACATATGTCTATGTGAATGGATTCCACAGGAGTAAAAGAGGAGAATCTGACCACTTCACTACAGGTGTGGAATAAGAATGAGAAACAGAAGTATTCTGAAAAACGGAAGTCATGTCTTTGTGCAGCAACACAGTATGAGAAAAAGAAATACAGAAAACATAACTATTTATGTAATTTTTTTAGTAGAATTTTGTTTGAGAATTTTTCATGAAAGGTGACAGTAGAACTGGTCAGAAAATGGGTTTTCCTGCCAAAAGTTTAACCTCTTTGTTAAAAAAAATTCTTTTTTGACAAAAAGTCAAATTTTTCCATGGAAAGACAATACTTGTGAAAAACTATTTAATCAAAAATTGAAGTTTCCTTCGAAAAGCACTTTTGATGGAAAATTTTCCACAAGTCCTATAACCTAGTCACTCAGTTCCAGCCTAATTTATAGCCACACATTACATTTTGGGTTATCTTCAAGAATTTTAATGACAATATTCTTAGTACATGAATTTTATGAAATTTAAATATGTTTTAAATTCTTATGGAATTTACTATTTTCTGCTACTATGCTGCTTGCTCCTTAATTAGAAATAGCAAGAAGCATAGAATTCCTCCAAAAAAGGTTAATCTAAATATTTACCCATTACTCTGTTTAAAAAAAACAAACTTAAGTTGGTCTACATGAGCAGGTTGCACCAGTTTAACCACATCTGTTTAGTTCACTGATGCAACTTTTCTCATACAGACAAGGCCCTAGTGAAATTATGACATCCAAGAGATGGGAAGTAGAGGAACAAAAGAAAGGGATTCTAAATGCCAAACTGTTTAAAACTTCTTCGTTTGTGGTTTCTGAACTTTATAGGAGTTTTGCTCTAGTAAGGTCCGGAGGGTCTTTACTTGACTCTAATACTTAATGAACACAATCTATTGGTTAAAGATTTAACCCTTCCACATCTTCAATTGAGTTGTGAGATCTCCCACCAAGAAGTCCATCAGCAAAACCAGGGAAGACCAGACTTGACATTCCTTATATTTCTAAGACAAAAAACAAGAATACCCACCCCACTACCTACTGGTTTTTGTTTTTGTTTTTTAAAAAGCCTTTCAAGCCTTCTATATAAAAAAAAGGCATAACACCAATGTTTTTAAAATTCTTTGCTGATCTCTCCTTGAACCGGAAACAAGAAGCCAATGGATTTATTAGAAGAAATGGAGTTGGAAATGAATGGAAAGCTTAGGCCTTGCCTACGTTCCAGACTTCTGTTGGCATAGCTGTGTTGATCAGGAGTGTGAGGTGATGTGATCCCTGACCGATACAGCTGTCCCAGCAGAAGCCCCTAGTGTAGGTTCAGTTATACCAGTAAAATTGCACTTTACGGGTATGGCTTGTTTTGCTTGGGGGATGATGGAATATGCTATACTTACAAAAGCACAGTTCTGTTAGCATAAATTGCATCCACACTAGGAGTTCTGCCATTATCATATACTGGTATTCCTAGTCCAGTAAAGAGCTCCTATTGTAGACATGGTCTTAGACAGATATCTCCTGTGGGGGGGGGGGGGGAAGGCAAACATTTGGAGGCTGACCCTATAGTCCTTACTAGGGCAAAACTCCCATAAAGTTCAAAAAGTCTTTCCCCTAATTAAGGAAATGCAGATCAGGTGCCTAACTGGGAAACTAGAAGGATTTGGGGAGAGATTTTGATATGTTGAAAGTCAATGGGACCTGTTCCCTAACTTTCTTAAGCGCTACTGAAATTCCCAGTTTATGGCTCAAAC